CCCCCCCCTTTAATATTGTAATATTCTTTTTCTTTTGGTGTTCCGAAGTCGAATATATTGCATTGTACTTGTCAAGAAAAAAGGTTGATATTCCATTGTAGTGAGTCTGGAGAATATTCTGAGATTCATCTCAAATGAAGCAAAGATCATGTCACTGTCTTTTTCATTTGTCTTAACTATTGGAGTAGTTTATTTATTCACACTCAATTTTGGACATATCTTCAGAGCCCATATGTGGAGGCTCCACAGTTTGCCGGTGGTCAAATCAGCTATAACTTCCCCATGCCGACTGCACCACCAGGTGCACAGAGACATGCATAGATACGGAGTTGGCGAAGAATTTATGTAGCTTGTGAATGGTAGTGCTTGTTGTTGTATGGCTTATTCTTAGGGAAGAGAGGGAGTTTGAGCTTCTTATGTATCCAGTGTGTACACATACTTGAGGCATTGATTCCAAACTTGTGGAACGGATTGGTGAGCAGAGAAAAGCTTCTGGACATGTTGCTTTCATGAAGGACTGCTTTGTAATTAATTTGTTCGAGTGTAATTTGTGTGGCCTGTATATGCAAAATATTACATTGCATTGGTCTATTCATCATGTTCTATAACCAGTGAAAAGTTTGTTATTGAGCTATTCTGATTTTGTACTCAAGAATTGCGAGTACTTCCTAATTGAACTCGTCATGAACAATAAACAAAAAATTCTTTATTCAAAAATGTGTTATACGTTTTGAAGTTGACTAAAGTAATAGATGCAAGAAAGAAAGTTTGTCACTTTGGCAAAGTGCGCAAGATCTCGACCTATATCAGTCTTCAATTTCAGAAATAGCCAATTCGAATTTCGAAGCAATAGCCAAATCGAATTATTACACTTAGATGGCGTCTTTTTGTATTCGGATTTTATATAATACTTAAATGTATCCAAAAGGAATTATAAGAACTAGCTAATATGATTTATGAATACGAATCATGCTATCATAAAGAAAATATGTTATACGTGACGTTTTTGAAACTAAGCGGAGCATATAGATTACAGATGAGAAAGCCTTTTTGTCCTAAGGTGCAAAAAGATCACTCGTTATTCAATTTTGGTCATATACTACACGAAGTTTTTCAATTTTGTTCTTCATTACGCCTATTCATCACCTTGTGTTAGCAAATTGCTTGTATTTATCCTTGGCATTAACAAAGTTCTAGCATGAAAGGGATGTAGTTTACGTATCCAAATTATTCGGAAAAAGTCTAAATTTTCACCTCAACTTTTACTATGGTTTAAAATCTCTCTCAAATTGGAGCTCCTTAGAAATCAAGGAAAAAAGAAGACCTTTTCTTAACGGCAAAGACAATAATTAAAGTCTAACGGATGGCGAAATTGTTCAATTTTGAATAGTACACAAGTAAATTTGACCATTTTTCCAAGTAAGAATGATGAATGTCCGTTACATATTATCTCCAATTGCTCCAGTAAATATGCTACGCCTTTTCAAAACCAAATGTCACATAGTTTACTTAAATAACATGTTTAACCATAGCTAAAATGTATTTTGTCACCCTTAAATAGTTGCTCCTGAAAATTTTGGTTGCTGATTTTCATTGAATTGTGGAAGGTATTACGAGCTAAGTTTGACTTTTTATGTTAGTTAATACATTTTCGTTTAACAAATGACTTCTCTTTTAACTTTGGGCCAAAAGTGTGCTAGTTTTGCGAACTTCAAGGACTATTCATGTTCACATTTATATATTAGAGACCAAAATGAAATCTCTCACTTCCAAATTAGTTCCAATTCACTTTAAGCGACATTATTTTCACATTTTACATTTAAAAACAATTTAGTTCTAAATTATTTAATTTTTAAAGTTGAGGGGAATTTGATTTTCACTCATTCATATTTTGTAGCCACACAAATATTAAGGTATATTTAAGATCACAAATATCATTAATATTCTATACAACAACCAAACCCAGTGGGATCCCACAAGTAGGGTATTAGGGAGGGTAATATGTACGCAGACCATATCCCTACCCTGGAGGGCAGAGAAGCTGTTTCTGAAAGACCCTCGGCTCGAGAGGAAGAATAGGAACAAGTAAATAATAACAACAAGGCGAGGAAAATGATATCAACAATGTAAGGACCGGAGAAAAAATAAATGGAACAAAGCAGTAGCAGTAGCAATAGCAATAGCAAAAGTAATAGCCACAAGCAGTAACACAACATGGTGCTAGAAAATCAAAGTGAAAGATAGTACTAAAACAACTATAATACCGGTGTTCTAAGAATCGAAGACAATGTACTAATCAGCTAGCCCTGATAAACCTGAAACAGATCATAAAAACACACGACAACCTATTACCCCTTCTACCCTAATCTTCGACCTCCATACCCTCTTGTCAAGGGTCATGTCCTCGGTAAGCTGAAGTCGCGCCATGTCTTGCCTGGTCACCTATCCCCAATACTTCTTAGGCTGCCCTCTATCCCTTCTCCTATTTGCACCTCCTCTCTAGGGCATCTAGGTTTCTCCCCTCACATGCCCGAACCATCTAAGTCTCGCTTTACACATCTTATCTTCCATAGGTGCCACGCCCACTTTCTCCCGAATATCCTCATTCCTAATCTTGTCCAACCTAGTGTGCTCACACATCCATCGCAACATCCTCATTTCGGCTAAGTTCATTTTCTCGATATGAGAGTTCTTGACTGGCCAACATTCTGCCCCATACAGCATAACCATTCTAATCGTCGCCTTTTAGAATATTTTTTTAATATTAAATTAAATTATATCATATAAATTAAAACGAAAATATTATTATACTTAAAAGTACAACTTGAGTTTTTATTTTTTGTTAATTTTTCTCAAGGGAAAAGAAAAGTTTTTTTTTTTTTACTTTTAGCCGTGCCAAAAGCTATTTATATTTGATAGCCGAAAAAGGGTATAAAATTTGTATATAACTTACAAAATATATATATACACAATAAATAAATAAAAATTTAAAAAAAAGAAGGAAAGAGTTTGGAAAAGCGGCAAGATCTCGACTTGTAGTGATGTAGCATCGAAAATGACGGTGGGAGAAAGTAGAATAGTAGATGTAGAATACAAGGTTAAAGGTTGAAATATTTTACGAGGGTGAGGAGTGGAAGGAAAGCAGCGAGTATTAAGCGTCAAAATTTTAGAACCTCGAGGGGAGGCAGGCCGTAAATCGTAGAGAACACACACACACACACTCTCTCTCTCTCTCTCTCTCTCTCCTCCAATTCCAAAATTCAGATCTTCACTTAATTCCCTCTTACTTCTGTCCTCTCACACGCAAAGAAACACATCCCACATGCCCCCTCTCTCTCTCTCTCTCTCTCTCTCTCTCTCTCTCTCTGTACAGGACAAAGCAAAGTGAGTAACTTTTACTGACACAAGAGAGATATAATTATTAGTACTACTAATATAGGTAGCAATCCCATTCATAAGTTCCCTCACATTTTCTGGATCCGCATTTCTCACAATTTGAGATCCATTGATCTCTGCTGTCTACTTTGTTTTGTCCTAAATTCCTGCCCCTCTCTGTAACGAGTTGGGTGGGTGGCTGGCTAGATCTTTGCTCAATTTTACTTGAGCATATACAACTGAATTTAGAATAATTCTGTTAGCAATATGGAGAGCGAGAAGAAGGTTTCTCCGGTATCCGACGTGGGGGCATGGGCGATGAACGTTGTTAGTTCGGTGGGAATTATTATGGCTAACAAGCAACTTATGTCGGCCAACGGTTATTCTTTCACCTTCGGTAATATTCCTCAGATCTCGTTTTTGAATTTTTCATTTCTTATTTTTTTTATTGATTGCACAAAATATGCACTCTTTTCTCCCATACTATCTTAGCTCGTAGAGGTGGATCCACGATTTGAAGGTAGCGGGTGCACGTATGCATTTATTTATCTTAGACGTATCAATAAATACAAAATGTAAATGTCTGCATCCGGTTGATTCGGTTGGTTTTGGATTAATTCAGCTCAAGTCATTCGGTTTTCGGTTCATAAATAGACAATCTGATCCGAATCTTAAATTGTATTCATAATATGTTCAATTATGAACCAAGAAGAAAAATAAATAGACAAGTATCCTATTTACAGCTCATATCAAGCTCAATGGAGCATCTATTCAATTCTCAATAGAAGCATATGAAAATTTAAACCTCAAACTATTTACTTAAGAGAAAAAAAGTTTGATATGGGGGGCCGATATTCAAAAACTGAGATATCAACAGTATAATTATTACTAGTACCTATAGGTTGAGATGAATTCAGATATACTCTTTTATTAACTAGGCACGAAAAATCGAACAAGAAGGGAAAATGGGCTGTATTATCTCGGTTATAAAAAAAAGAAACGGAGGCCGGATTGGTACTATTTCTGCAATTGCTTATCTGGCCTTAGACGGCACTACCTGAAAATATTGCTTTTAGAACTTATCTGGAAAGATATAACAGTCTTTTGTTATGGTGGTTAAGTGGAGAAGTGTAGAGGGGTGGCCCCATATATCTATTGAGTTTCAAACTGTGTGCCACTGGTCTATAGGGATATTCGGTTATAAAAAAGAAGTCTTTTCTTGTGGTATGGAAAACCTTTAGCATCAGGCTTTATGTGCCTTATTACATCAGGCTTGTCATCAGTTGTTATTAAAAGGGCAAGGTGGTAGGCTTTATGCCTATCCGGGGAGAAGATATATATTTATGGTATTTTTGCTTTGTAGAAGCATGCATCCAGCTGAAATCTTTTAGTTGAAGGACATAGGGAGTACATGTTACTATCCATTTGATCATATAATGTATGTGTTCAATTCCAAATGTTCGTCCTGTCATTTTTAATTTCATGGTATGTTTCCTCCAGCTACAACGTTGACTGGGTTCCACTTCGCTGTGACGGCGCTTGTTGGGATGGTGTCAAATGCCACGGGGTTTTCCTCATCAAAGCATGTACCTTTGTGGGAACTTATCTGGTTCTCAATTGTTGCAAACATGTCTATCACAGGGATGAACTTAAGTCTGATGCTCAATTCAGTTGGATTTTACCAAGTATGATATTGTCTCTTTTGTTGTATACTCTACTCACTTTTGTGTTTTGTCCTTAACATTTCTTGTTATGTCTTGAATTTTCTTCATATAGAAAAGATAAGTCTTGGATTCCCGTTATGTTGGTGAATAAGATTTGTTAACAACTTTATAATGCTATCAGCTTTCAATCTCCTTTAGTTGGAAAAGAATATAATTACTAAAACAATTTTCACTAGAACTTTTCATCTGTTTCTTGCATCCCTTTGCTCCACATTTTGAATTTAGACCCTTAAAATCATTACATATCAGTTTTACCTATCAGCAGCAGAAGAAGAAGAACAACAACCCATTGAGTTCTCACAAGTGGGGTCTGGGGAGGGTAGAGTGTACGCAGACCTTACCCCTTAGGGAGGCTGTTTCCGAAAGACCCGGAGAAGAAATTGTTTGATATTTGTTTTAGGTGCATTGAAGTTACAAATAACAGATAAAACTTGGTACTTGCTGAAATTTTAGCTTCAAGTTACTATGGTCCAAGTATATATGCGTTACTAGCTAGCTATGAAGGGTGTACTTGGAACAGCTTTTACAAGATGATCCCAAACTTTTTCCTTCTCAAAAAAGGATTTCATTTTT